ACGACATCGTTTTGGAATAGGTATATAAACCCAAACTATGACCGAAAATGGCCTATCTCCCTAATTTTCTTCATTTTCCTATCTCTCTCATAAAAGGAAAAGAGAGAATTCTCTGCCTTTTCTCTTCCTCTCATCGCTGGGGAGAGGCTGAAAGCCTCCGACCACTGTTCACCGGAGCACTCCACCGTCGCACACAGCGACTGACGACCTAGAAAACTACCCAAAACAATGCTCAGCCTTCCCTAAACCCAAAAACATACCTCACTCAACCTAGAACTACCCCTAGCGTCTTAGATCTAAGAAAAACGAAGGGGTTACCTTCGGTTTCCGATGGTGCCTCTTTCTCCGGTGGTGGGAAACTTGGCTCCGGGTGGTAAGTCTCTCTCCTTTCTCCCTTTTTTTCTTTTCGATTTTTTCTTTGAAAAATCCCTCAAAGCCTTTTTGATTTTTTGTGTTGTATTCTCTATGTTTTCTTACATTTTTGTTCTTCGATTTTTGTTTGTGGTTGCTCTCTCCTCGTTGATGTCTTTGTTGAGGTGTTGATATAGGGGGTCTCCCTATTTGACTTTGTTTTTATTGCATGTTTTGGGGATGATTTTGTTGATATTTGTTTTTGTTGTCTTTGTTTTATCTTTGCTTCTTTCGGCTTTGGGGTGGTCTGTCCGAGGAGAGCGGCTTGGCGGTGACGGCAAAAACACAGGGGGTAAAAATATTTAACCCCGAGGCTATTTTCATCCGCCTCGAGGAAGCTGGTGACGAATCCGGTGGTGGCAATCATCGGGCAATAGGGAAACACGGGCGCGTGCAACTCACACGGGGAGCGCGTGAGAGTGGCGACTTGGCGTGTGGTAGTTGTTGAATAGGTCAAAACCCTGGCTTGGGTTAATCTGATTCGTTGGATCAGATCTGATCGAACGGTTGAAATATGGTGGCGGTTGGAGGCTTGGTGCAGCTAGGGTTTCCTAAACTCTTGGGTTGCATCCAGGTTTTGGGCTTGCTTGGGTTGTTTGGTGCTTTGTAATTGGGCCCCCGAATTGGGCTTGTCGTTTGTAATCTGAAAATAAAAATAATATTAATAAATAGTAATAATAACGATATTATAATAATAAAAACCCAGACAAAAATGGGTGTCTACAGGTAAAGTATACAAATAGCCCCTCAACTATAGGATGATGCTTTGTTGAGTCACTCAACTATTAAAAGTTACGAAAAGGTCACCCAACTATTTAGTATGTTCCAAACTCGTCATTTTCCGTTAAAAATTGACAACAATTTGAGCTGGATGTTAACCTGTTAACTGAGATATGATGGTTTTTTTGGATTATGAGATCAGATTTTATCATATCTCATTCATCAAGTTAACATGTAGCTCTATCTGTCATCAATTTTTTAACGGAAAAAGATGAATTTGGAACATAATAAATAGTCGGTGACCATTTTGCAACTTTAATAGTCGGGAACTCAACAAAGCAACACCCTTTAGTAGAATGATCATTTTGTAACTTTTAATAGTCGATGGACTCAACAAAGCATCATCTTATAATCGGGGGACCATTTGTGTACTTTACCCATAAAAAATTATATCTTTGATATATTGATGGTTTTTATCATAATTAGTAATATTTAATTTTTTATTGAATATATATGTGTAACATCATGGACGGAAGCGTGATTATATGTTAAGAAGACGAAAATATGACGGAAAGTCTCACGTGCGACAACCTTAATATACGATTAAGGAAATGCGCTACCGGTTTTGTTATTATTTTTTTAGCATTTCCGGTAAAAAATTACCGGAAACATTATTATTTCTACGGGTTTTGTTATTATTAGGCGCTTTACCGGTTTTGTTAACATATCCGGTAAAGCGCTACCTAAAACATTATTTTTTTCTACCAGTTTTGTTATTATTGGGTACTTTACCGGAAATGTTAAAAAATATTAATGTTTTAGGTAGAAATAATAATGTTTTAGGTAATTTTTTATCGGAAATGTTAAAAAAATAATAACAAAACCGATAGTTCCTTTTATTAGCCATATATTAAAGCTGTCGTACTGTAGAATTTCCCAAAATATGATATATGAAATGAACGAATGTCTGATTGAAATGATTGAATGTTTACCCTATTTTGTTCATTATGAATTGTCTAGCCCTATTTTTCTGGTTGGATGAGGTTACATCTTTAATTTAATTTTTGACTAAATCAAGTTAGTAGTGTTACATCTGAACAATTATTGATTACTGAATTGAAAGACAGATTAAATAAAAACACAACTAACCATAATCTTAAACCCTAATTTCGCATGTTGCTATGATTAATATGGTTTCCACATTCCACGACAAATAAGTTTATAAAAAATCAAATAAGCAAATTTAGTAGCATTCGGCACAAAAAAGTATCCCTTAATTCCCTTAAAAGTTCAACCACGGAACCTGTATTCGTCACAAAATAATTAGTTTTCGGTTCTTGTGTTTCCTCTCTTCGACTAATTTCATAATTATGTTTTGATTGGAAACACTATTCTTGTCGATAATAGTAAATAAAAGAAGATGAGAAGCTAAAAACCAAATTTAGTGGATTTAATTATGCTAAAGTTGTCGTTAATTATGCATTTGGCATGTTCCCCGACAGTTTGAAGCGATTGAGATTATTGTAACATAGAAAAGACAAAGGATTCTTGAGCCTGCTAAAATATTTTGTTTCAATAATAATGTTTTTTTGCCTAATTGCAGTTTAGCATTTTTCCTTATATTCGCTCTGTGCTTTAAAATTAATGTTAATTAATTACCTGTTATATTTGTTTTCTTCTTCGCTAAATGTAGAAACTAACAAAGTTTGTACGTTTCCCATGCAAATTAATTGATATTTACTATATGAGTTAACTATGCTATATATCACGGAGCTTAAGACGTTGTATTATTTATACTATTGAACTTTCTACTTATCTAATAATAACAATAAATTTTGGTTTTGATTTCAATTATACCACTAGATTGTTAAAAATTAAATGGATTTTCGTTGATTTTGTGAAAAAACAATCATAGGAGAAGAAAGACGAGTGAAATACGAACGTTTTGATATTGATTTTGCTACGAAAGATGATTGGTGTCGGGCAACTATTGGTTACCAATGACAACCAAAAAAGTTTAGCACAAAAAACTGAACCTTTTTAAAGTTTAGTATCAAAATGATACACATTTAAAGGTCATTGTTTAAAACAATGTCATTTTGAGTATCAATAGTAACGTCAAAATGATATTATTTTGTACATGTCATCACAATGATAGAAAGATTCATCCATATCATTATGGTGTTAAAATTTAACGGCACAACAGCATAATTGAAGTCAATCAAAGTTTAATGTTATAACTGGGGAAATTAAAAGTTCAATTGTATAAATGATCCACCACCTAAAATTTAATGGTATATGATGTAATTTACCTTTATAATATTTATGTATATTATTCGGAAAAATAAAAAATGTAAATTATTAACCTCTAAACCTAACGAAATTCATTGACGCGTCTCTCATCTCTTTTTCTATTAGGCTGTGATGCTTACGATGATGGTAGATGTTTCATGTGGGGGGCAGCTAATGTAAATTAATTAATAATTTTTTAATGAAAGATTAACACTTCAAATTTTGTACTGAGCTTTGCATAGGAAACACAATGAATAAATATAAATCGAATTCCCCCCAACCCCCATGCAGTAGGTATCCGATGCTCTGTATTTAATCCATATAATGAAAATAACTTGTATCCACAATGTATTTAGTGGCTAAATTATTAAAATAATACAATCTTATTTTTATATTAAAATAAAACCTAAAAAATTTCATTTTTTTCAAAAATATTTTTTATTTCTATCATATAAGAAAAAGACGTGCTTATGTGATGGTGCCTTTTGAATGATTCTTTCTCAAGAAAGTACCTTTGTTTACATGACAAGTCACATGTGTTATTTCTCTAAATGTTAACATCATCCTTAGACCTATCACGTAAGTAAAAATACTTTATTAAGGAAGAACCTTTCAAAAAACGTTATCACGTAGATGTATATTCATCATGTACGACATAAATAAATTATTGTTTATCAAAAGAGTATTGTTTTAATAATTTAACTGTATTAATTATTGTTCAGTTTGAGTATCTAATTATGCTTATTATTACAACATGATATGCTGTCGCTATATTTGCAGTAAAAAGAACCCGTGAGTAATGAATAATACTAGGGTTTTTTTTTTGGTTACAATAATAATAGGGTTTTTGTATGCTTACTTCTTTTACTAATCCACAGCTGATCATTATTAAAGTTACCGCAATTCGAAAATACCTGCTTCGGTGGGTCACGCGCCACGCATTTCGAAATGACCTTATTTTTTAACAGTGGTAATATTTTTAATATTACTAATTATAGAAATAAAAAATGATATTGAACAGTAAAAAACAAAAAGAAAAGGTTGGAAAAAAATGGGAAGGGAATGCAGTGAAGATCCGAAATGTGTAAGTTAGTGAGCACGCGCGCTCTTTTGTTTATTGTCGTCTTCTCCCTCTCCAGAGCATCTCTTTTCATCTGTTTTACGTGAGATTATGGAGTAATTAAAGTACTCAGTACTGCACAAAAACACCGGCAATTTGCAGCCATTTCCTTTTTCACGGTTATTATTAATTTCTTTTGTTTGTCCTACCGTTTCTTAAGAGGGAATGACTAATCCAAATCAACTTATTTTACTAGATTAATCTTTTAATAGGATTTTCTACGTATTTAAACTGAAGATGTGTTTAAACAATATCATACTATTATTATTATTTTAATGCCTCGATATTGTAAACTCTCTGCATTCCTTCCCCTCTCTCTATTTCTTTATCTTACTCCTGCTACCTATATTTGTAAGCCAGCTTGCTCTCCAGATTCTCCAGTTTTTTGCATTTGCATTACGCTTTTTGCTTCTGCTTTGAACTTCAAAGTTGAATCCTTTTCAACTCTTTCATAGGGGATTATCGTGTTTTTGATGATGGCTCACAAGCATTTGCACGAGTTGCTTGAGGAAGATCAAGAGCCATTTCTTTTGAACAAGTACATTGCTGATAGGCGTTGTCAACTGAAGAAACCATCGCCTCAGACTCATCTCCGAGTTAAGAAACGAAAACCCATCTCTCGAAATCCAAACTTCCCTTCAAATTTCAGCAAAAACGCTTGTGTTTTCTCGTTCCACGACTCGCCGGACCACCCCAGGAAGTCTCCATTGTTCGAGTTGGCATCGCCGGCTAAAAGCCCTTGCAGGAATCCCAACTCCATTTTTCTTCACATCCCAGCTAGAACGGCAGCACTTCTCCTCGAAGCCGCTCTCAGGATTCAAAAACAATCTTCGTCAAAAACCAAACACCACAACAGAAACAATGGCGGCGGTACTGGTTTTGGGTTCTTCCGTTCCATTCTGAAGAGGCTAACCCACCGCAACACGAACCGAAAGCGTGAAATTGCTAATGAAGGAGCAAATGTTTCAGTCAAGGACATAATAAGGAGGGATCCAACTGTGGCCAAAAACAATCCTAGTCGAAGGAAATTATCTTCGTCGACATCGATATCGGAAGACAAAGGTGGTTATGAAATGGGGCTTTCATGTTCTTACAATGGTAGAACAAGCAGTGCTGCTTGGTCGGAAAGCAATAAAGAAAAATCCATGGACACTTCGTGTAGCTGTAGTCAATCCGAGGATTTCGAAGAGATTTTATTGTCCAAAGATGTTTTAGGAAATAATTCAGCTTTTTCTTCTTGTGATAGCCCTTTTCACTTTGTGCTTCAAAGAAGCCCTTCCTTTGGTCACCGGACACCCCTTTTTTCTTCCCCGGCGGCATCTCCCGATCGCCGCCAAAAACAGGTCAGTACTTTTAAACAAAGATTATTAATAACTTTGTTAATTAAAACTACAAATATGGTGTGTTTTAAAGCCTCTTAATTTAGGGAGTATTTGAGTGAACTCGTGACTCAGGTGACTGAGTTCTCTCTGACATACTTGAACTGTCGGCATCAGATTTGCTGCAAAATATTTTGCCGGAATTGGACCTGAACTGACAAATATACCCTGTCACTCTTGGAGTCTTTTTGTTCGAAGGTTTCGGTTGGTTTTGACTGGTTCCGAGGGTTATAAATGTGATTTAGTTTTCTGTAATGAACATTTGTCCTTTTACTAATTTTACTTTTTTTTATCATGTTTCTGCCATTTATATTTTTCGTAATTCCAGAAAGTAATTTACCAAAAGGGACAAAAAGTTTTTTGTTTCTTCTGTTGAACCCCATCACCATATTCAGCAACCTACTCCATTCAAAAACTCAATCAATCCTCAATTATTTGTGTTAACAACTCTAATTCTAGTTCTTTCTCCTATGGAATTATTTAACAACTACCCTGTTGAAGAATATTGTCCGCAAAAATAAATAATATGTTATTCAAAAGGTTTGCTGGAATGGATTGTGACAGGACAAAGAGAACTATGAAGTTGAGAGCTTGCAGAAACTGCAAGTAGAAGAAGATGAGGAAGAAAAAGAACAATGCAGTCCTGTATCTGTGCTCGACCCTCCGTTCGAGGACGACGACGGTAGGCATGAGAACGATGGTTTCGATCTTGAATGCGGCTACGCAGTCGTACAAAGTATGTTTACTGAATCACTTGCTCTGTGTGGCTTTTTATCTGTCAGCTTCTTTGTTATCCCATGTTCAATGCATGGTTTAATTTGATTTATAAAGATGAACATCTATATGCATGAACATCTTAAATATGATGACTATATGTATGAACATCTTAAATGTGATGATTGTATGCATGAACATCTTAAATGTAGACATAAAACCAGAAGAGTTTGGTTTCTTCTTGTCCCTGTCATAACTTTGCTTGTTCCCTTCTCTTTAATGGTGGATTGCTTAGAATTATTCTCAAAGTTCACTTGCATTTACAATATAAGGATATTGATATCCTCCGGTTTTCCTCGTTTTATCACCAGGAGCAAAGCAGCAGCTACTGCACAAACTTCGTCGATTCGAGAAACTGGCCGGATTCGATCTGATCGAACTTGGGAAAAGAATGATAGAACAAGAGGAATATAATGATAATGACGATGACGGAATTTGCAATGTAGAAGAAGAGGAATTCGAGATCGAGTCTGTTTCATACGACGATGAAATGAATGCCGATGGTCTTCTCCAAGAAGTTCTTAACTCAAGCTTCCACAATCTAAGACATGCCCCTGGAGGCATGAAAAGGCTAGTAACTGACCTCATCGCTGAGGAAGAGACGGAACAAAGCCACTCCGCGGATAGCGAAGCAGTAACTAAAAGGGTTTGCAAGAGGATGGAGTCATGGAAGGACGTGGAATCAAACACCATTGACATGATGGTGGAACAAGATTTGAGAAAAGAGCTCGACTGTTGGAGAAGACATCAAGTGCAAATGAGAGAGACAGCATTAGAAGTCGAATTCGCAATCTTGGGATTACTGATGGAAGAACTATCGGAAGAACTAGTGTCTTTAACCGGAGCTTGATCTGGAACAAATTTTGAAGATGTTTCTTTCATCCCCTCCAAAACCATATCTTAATTAGAGTACAGTCTGCCTTTGCTCATAGCACTAATTGAAACGATGCAATGCTGAAAGAAGGGTATTATGTATATGCAATACATCTTCATATATATAATAACATAATTTTCTACATCAATTTTTGTTGTCTTCTTTTGTGTCTGAAGTGGTGTAGAGCTATAATTTCTTCTCATTTTCACTGAAAATGAATAGGAAGGAAGTTCATGGATTATATTTAGAAGTGGGTGAAAAGACAATGCCAACAAGGATCATTTGTTTCTTTGTATGTAAATGACAATGCATAAATAAATAAGGTACATTGTTACAACCTCAAATTGTTGTCTGATAATAGCACTGATTGGACAATCTATCTAAAACACATCATTATATGAGTAGAATTTAGCTATAGTTTGATTAATTATTTTGTAGTTTTGCACCCGTTCAGTTTTCTTATTTTGACTATCATTTCATCGACCTATTGAGTGTTTTTAGTGGTAAAAAAATGTTATTCTTCTTTGATGATTCGTGTTTGAACAACTGCATCTGTAAGGTGTGTGTACAATATTAATAAAGCTAAGAAATTTTGAATAGATGTTATCTTATAATTACTTAAACTATTAAAAAAAGTGTAACAACTCTACTTTAATTTTATTATTTTTCTTAGAAAGTCGAATAAAAAATAGAAGAATGATATTTATTTATTTATTAATATAAATAAAATTAAGTTGCTATTATAATTTTATCGATATATTATATATTTATTTATGTAAATAGTTTCATTTGTGATAAATAAATGATCAAATGATTATAGGTAGTAAAGGGTTTATGTATAAAAGTTATTGGTTAACGTGGAGAGTCTAAAATACAACCGTTAAAAGAGGTTATAATCAGTTGTAACGGAAAAACTTATCAAATGTGTAATTCTTTAAAGTAAATTAAACAATATTTTAGGTTAAAACTGAAAATGTTATGTTCTTTATAACAAATAATATAAATTGTATAATTATTTTAGTTGCAAACTAAAGAGTTACCGTCAAGAAACTCATGTAACATTTTTAATTATAATCAAAATTATTATCAATTGTTTAACTTTTTAGAGTAGATATGGTCATATTTTATATGGTTATAAAATGTTACATTATGACGGAATTTAACCTAAAACGTTACCATATAAATTTCTAAAAATTTAAACAATTGATAATAATTTCGGTTACAACCGAAAATATTACATAAGTTTCTTGATGGTAACTTTTTAGGTTACAATCTAAATAATTATGTGATTTACATGATCTATTATGTAGAAATAATATTTTCGATTTCATTTCAATTTACTCTAAATAGTAACACACTTGATTAATTTTCCAATTACAACTCATCATAATATTTTTTAATCTTATATTAATCGATTATATTTTAGACTCCTAGCGGAATTAATACTCTCTATGAACTGATTGAGTGGATGTGCTTCCTAAGATCATGTAGCATTATTAATATTATCATTCGAATAAGCAACAATGTAGCGTTAAATTAAAAGGGAAGGATTGTATACTGATAAATCTCTTGTACTCACATGGGGACTACTGCTGCCTTCATTATTTTCGTTCAAATCCAAACAAGACTCCGCTTTTTAACTCTTGCCCTGGACTTCAACTGAACAGCCCTGCCTGTTGGTGATTCTTTTCCAGGGACTTTGGTTCAATTCAAGCAGCTGATTCAAATGCTATGAATAGTTTGGGCCAAAGCCCCAAGAGCCAATGGCTAATGGGGTGGGGAATGTAGATCCATGACTCACTGCCTCACCAGTCAACAGCTATCACATTCGTCTCCTGCAATCTTATTTTGTCGCCTTGCCTTCAACATTAATTACCTTCTCTCAATCTCTCTCTCACGTTCCACTGTTTCACTCTACAAAGTACAAAGAGAAAAACATGGGAAACAGCAAATTCTGTCTTGCTTAACTTTGGTTACTTGAGAGTAGTTAAAGAGAATTTTATCTGTAGGAGCAAGATGATCCTGGTGTGCCCTTCACTCTTTCTCTTGATTTCCACATGGAAATGGAGGATCATCGTCAATACAACACGCTTGATGAACTGTTCAATGGAAGGCCAACCAATTTCCAGCCAATTCCTCCCCAGTTATTCTCCTCCTACCACCGCGATATGCTGCCACCACCACAGCAACCGCATCACCATCACTTTGAAATGATGCAAATGGTGGGTACACAAATTGGTGCTGATCACCCGATATCTTGTGGGCTTCATCAAGAGCTCCCTTCAGATTCTACTGCTAACAACGTTGGTGAAGCTACTGCTTCTGGGGGATGGTCTGGCCACGAGACTTTAACACTACTTGAGATCAGATCTCGTCTTGATCCCATGTTCAAAGAAGCTAATCAAACGGCTCATTTGTGGGAGGAAATTTCCAGGTACACTCATATACTATCACCATACCCTAATTCAACAGAGAAATATAAGCCTTAATTCATGTTAAAAAAACAAGACACCATTTTGTTTCTTGCTGTTAATATTATATTTAAGAAAAGGACTACAGCATGAACAAGTTCGGGAAGACTGATCATTTCAATAGTCTTCCACAGACTTGTTTTGCCTTTGAAAATGTGTTGGCGCTATTTCCTCTCCCTCTAGTCGAGCTTTCACTTTCCTTTAGCCCCTCGGTTGAGAACGCTTACCCAATACAAAAAGATGACTGAGCACCTTTTCAAATGTTTTTACTAATCTGTTGTCAGCTCCTTGAATGGTCAAATAAAAATTTAGACTTTAATTCATTACCGTTTCATTAATTTTTTCCCTTTTTGTTGTAGGATCTTGACTGAGGAACATCGATACAAAAGGAGTGGGGAAACATGTAGGGAGAAATTTGAAAACTTGTACAAGTATTACAAAAAGACTAGGGAAGTGAAGGGGAGAAGCCATGATGATAAGCACCATAGATTCTTTCGACACCTTGAAGCTTTATATGGAGACACCAGCAGTTCAGTTTCTCTCCAAGAGAACAGTTTCCCGTTATATAGTACTCTCAAATGCAATTTTCAAGTAAATCATGAAGTTTCTTACTCTGATCTGAACCACTGTGATAGTTTAAGCCTCTCTAGTTCCTCTAGATTCGACACTTACACCTCAGATGACAATGATTTAATCATTGCAGCGGCAACTGAGAGGAAAAGGAAAAGGGTTGTACTACGAGATGGAAGACGAAGATAAAAGAGTTCATCGACTCCCAAATGAAGAAGTTGATGGAAAGACAGGAGGCTTGGATAGAGAAGTTGAAAAGGACGATTGAACAAAAAGAGCAAAAGAGTGTTATGAACCGTGAGAAATAGAGAAGTTGAGATCGAAGAAATGAAAGGATTTAAAAGAAAAAGAAGTGGGATTACAGAAAAGGAATTTTTCATTCATTCATCTTATAAGTTTTTTTCTCCTCCAGTACATAGTTTTGTTTTCAATACAATGTACTATAGCCACTCTTTTGATGACAGCTGGACAATGTAGTAACTAACTCTAACACCTTCCCTTGCATATGTCAGCTAATGTATTTTCTCTTGTGGGCTGCTAGATGGATCCACTTCTGAGCCCATGTTCCTTGTCCCACTCAGCTTCCATTCTTCTCTACGTGTATCCATATCCATTTCCAGGTGATTATCTTTTACCTTATCATTAGGAATTAAAATCCCTAATTCTCTGATTCCTCTTTTCACATTCCCTAATCCGCCTTTCATTTCCCCCAATTCTCTCTTTGATTCTGAACTCTCGTCTTGATATTCTCTTTCGTTCATGACAATACCCCATCTATGAGTAGATCCTTGTCCCCAAGGATCGAAAGTATGAAATTGAGCACGCAAGACGTTATAATCTTCCCAGGCATCGTGTTTAGAACTCGAATTCGTCCATCTGACGAGCAATTGAGTAATAACATGATTATCTCTTTTAACATTTCTTTGTTCAAAATCTTCTCAGGGAATACTTTCATCTGGCCATCATCGATTATTTGAGGAGGTTCGGATGAAGCCACCGCATTCTCGCAAATTTTTCGCTTCAGGAGACTTACATGAAAAACATGGTGGATTCGAGCAGTATCTGGTAAGGCCAGTTTGTACACAACCTCTCCAATCTTTTCCATAACTTTGTATGAACCATAAAAATGAGTTGCTAACTTCAAATTTTTCTGAGCGCTAGGGATGTCTACCAATAGGGTTGCATTTTTAGGTACACCTCTTCTCCTATATTAAATTTCCTCTCACAATGATTCTTGTCAGCTTGTTGTTTCATACGATTATGTGCTTGCTGTAGTTGATATCTAACATTTGTCTAAATTGATCCATGTCTTGTAGTAATGTCTGAACACTATGTACATTAGAATCAAAACACCATAACATCGTAGGAAGTTTGTATACGTAAAGGGCCTCGAAAGGGGTGATCTTTAGTGATGTGTGATAATTTGTGTTGTATCACCATTCAACATGGGGCAACCATCTTGCCCACTGTGTAGGTTTTAGAAAACACGACAAGTATTGTGCTAGACACTAGTTCATGCACTCATTTTGACCACCTGTCTCAGGATGGTAGGTCGTGCTAAAGAGTGTGGTGATTCCTAATTGCTTCATCAATTCTTTCCAAAAAATACTAGTGAAAATCTTATCATGATCTGAAATGTCCATCTTAGGCTGACCATGAAGTTTATATACCTGATCTAAATATAATTTAGCTACCTCCGTCACAGTATAGGGATGAGAAAGTGCTAAAAATGAGCATATTAAGTCAGTTTATCAACTATCACCAAAATGCAAGTCTTATGCATAGAAATAGGTAAACCTCCAATAAAATCCGTAGTTATCACCTCTCATGCTTGTTAAGGATTTGGAATATGTTGTAGCAAATCTGGTTTAACAATATGCTCCACTTTAGTACGTTGGTAGACTTCACATTGTTGGACATAAGTAGAGACCATAGCTTTAAGTTTAGGGCAATAAAAATAAGCTTTCACACGTTGATAATTAGCTTCAATGTCTAAATGCCTTCCATGTGGAGAGTCATGTAGTATTTGCAGAATCTTCAAACGTAGATCACCCGTCTCTCCCACA